CACAACCACAATGTGACATCAAAACACGGAGAAGGAATTGTTTGAAACAGTTTCTTCAATCTGTTCCCATTCCATCTGCATATCCTGCCTGCGATGTAGCTCGGGTTTCTCTCTTCAATTTCGCTGTCTTTCTCTTATCTCCTCTACCAGCACAGGGAGTACGTGAGGCTTTTTTGTCGAGATTTTTGCTTTTTTCCTCCATGGCAGTGATCCTAGTTGAGCGCTTGGTGTGTTCCCTTTTAACCTACATGGTTTTGCATCCAATACAATCGAGGCAGGTCCCTTTGGTCCATTTCTCAATTCCTGTCTTTCCCTTCATTCATCGCGACCGTGTCTGTTCACTCTTGTCTCGGGTTCGACTACTTCAGTGAAGTCTTAGGCCGCCAGGTATCTTTTGCTAGAGAGACGCTCAAGCGGCAGAGGCGGCTCCACGCCATCGCTCCTCTCTCCTCCGCGCCAACAAACCGGACTTCAACAGATCTCCAATATTCTTCTTGGTCTCGGTCTATCCAGCCTTTGACGCTTTTGACTTTGGTCTGCTGGCCTGATCCAATCGAACCTTGCCGAGGCTTCATTTTCTATCTCCTTCCGGAGGAACTGGCGTCCATCTGGGATTTTCGAGCCCAATTTTTGCCCACCACCGAACATCAAAAAATGCATGAGTTACTGTGTCCGCGGTCTCGACCTAGACATCTTGTTTTCTATTTTCCCTATAGCTCGATACCTTTCCTGCTGTTGCTTTTCGGTTTGATTACGGGGAATGGAGGGACGGGGAAAAGAAAGAACTACGGAAAATGAACTTTCCCCTACTTTGTTCTCACGATGTGACTGGCTCATAGACAACAATTGACGTTTTTTGTTTCTGCTGCTGTGAAAGTACGACCCAATGTATATGGTCTGAATGCGTAGATGTGATTGGTTTGGCGGCTGTAAGCAGCACATAGACACCAGGTAAGTAGACCATGAACTTCACATAAGGATTCTCGGCTCGATTGACCAGTTGAGACAGGCTATACATCATACCTCTATGGGAAGAGAACAAGTGACACATAATATTGAATCGTAACGAACAGGTCTGAAGAACAAATAGCTATGTAAGGGGAAATTGGATCAGTGAAGAGAAAAGAGGATCAAGGGGGGTGGATATCCCACGCAAGCAAGATTTAGCTGTTTGTCAATACATTGAAAACGGGGAATTAAATGAAGAATGGGAGGGGGAAATGTGAAACAAGATGCAAGCAGAGGCAAAGAAAAAGAGGGCGTTGTGGAGACTCTTCCTTTTCCTCTCATAGGTCTCTCTCTCATCCTACGGCACAGTTCTCCCACGGGGATTTAAATACAAGCACAAACATACACACATACCATGCCACAACAAAAACAAAACACAAACAGAAGGGTCTATCTTAGGCGGGATGGTCGGTAGGTGGGTGATTTTTACTCGGATTTCTCTTGCTCCTCGTCCTCCTCCTCTTCAGCTTCATCCTCGGCAACGACCTCCGCATCATCCGCCTCAGGTTGTACTTCGGGGGCACCGTTGTCTGCGGTCTCATCGTCGCCGTGGACGTCGATCAGGGACTCGGACGAAGGAGGCTCGAGGACGGCGGGAGCAGCGACGGCGGCGGCGCCGCCCTCGGTTTCGAGGCGGATGTACTCGTCCCATTCGGGGAAGAGGTCATCATCTGCGGCGGCGTCAGGGGTGCCGGGGGGGATACCGATGAGGCGGGCGATCTTGGTCTTTCCGTTGGACTCCAGAGAGGCCTTCCACTGGGCGACAAGGGCGGGGGCCCGCGAGGGCTTGTAGGTCTGGGCGAAGAGGACGGATTCGGCGAGACGGTTCGTCCGCACCAGGAGGTCGATGCAGCCGTCGACGTCGCCGAGGGACCAGTAGGTGGAGAAGGCAACGTTGTGTAGGCCGGCTTCTGAGGCCTGGGCGGCCAGCTGGCGGAGCCCGTCCTTGTTGCCGCTGGCGCTGTGCAGCAGGAGAAGGGAGCCCACGTCCTTGGCATTGGTAAAGCACTCTTGGGCCAACGCCAGGTTCCAGCCCGCGAGGGCGGCGTCTCCGACGATCTTCCACTTGTGCTCGACGTTGGCTTCGCGGGCGATCTCGAGGGCGATCTCGAGGTTGTTCAGGGCCAGGGCCAGCTCGAAGCGGTGTTCCGGGTCGGTTGCAACCTCGAGTGCCATCTCCTTGTACCCTTGGCCTTCCAAGAAGCGAGCCACCTTGTTCATCTGATCCTGGGGGACGTCCTGGAGCAGCTCCGCTGCCGTGTCCAGGTCGCCACGCAACACCACCGTCTGGTACTCGACCATGCTGAGAGACAAGCCGAATGATACGACGTTGACATCCTTGTCGGCAAGGTAGACACGGCCGTCACGGGGGAGGTAGCCAAGGACATACATACCCTGGTCGAAGTGGGAGATGGTGTAGGTTTGGTCGCCGACCAGGTAGTTGAGGCGATTCGTCGAGTTCGTGTAGATGAAGCAGTCTCCAACCCACTGACCCGTGCGAACAGACTCGTTGACATCCGTGACAACCTCGAAAGCGGACTCCACGCCATCTTCGTCGGCTTCGCCGGCGTTCAAGCCCTCAATGTAGTTCTCCCGGGAGTATCGGAGGACATAGAAAGAATCCTCACAGGCAAGAGTCACTAACTCTCCGGATTCAGACCAGTATACCTAAGTGAGTTGTTAGCGACAATCCAATGAGGGAATTTCAGTTCCTGTTACTTACAGCCTTGGGGTCGACTTCAATGCGGCGGACCAGGTTTCCAGTCTCCCAGTCAAACATACCAATTCCGCCTTGACCCTTAACACCCAACAACACACCGTCTGTGAGACCTTCAGCTTGGAAGCCTACATCAAGCCCGCCGCTGACTTCCTTGAAGTTCTTGAAAATCTTGACACTGGTGGTCGACTCGCGGATGGCATAGTCATTGCTGTTGTCCTTCGAACCCCAAGCAAAGTCCAAGGCTTGCCCGAATGCCTTGTTGCGCCACGCAAGAGCAGTGTAGATGATGTACTCGCCATCACCGCAGACCGAGACAAACCGTCCGTTGGGAGAGTGGGACAGGGTCTGAGGGTAGACCTCGCACGATCCCAGCTCTTTCGTAGGCAGGGAAAGTGGCGCACCATCCTTAATGCTAGCATCGCCACCTTTGATCACTGTTGAGACAACCTCGTTGTGTCTGGCCCAGATAATCTTTCCTGAACCATCCATGGAAACAGCTGGCTCTTCCCGTCCCATCTTCACTACTACTGCACCATCATCGAAACCGATCGCAACGCCTTGCCGGCCTCGCTGATAGGAGACACACCACGCTCTCTCCAAGCCGTAGCTTAAAGACTGTTCGAGTCTGTATGTGTTCGCATGCCAAATCTTGATGGTTCCGTCTTCAGAGCCGGAGATAATGACAGGCAGTTCCGGGTGATAGCAAGCGAAAGAAACGTTGCTTGTATGTCCCTCCAACGTAGCAATGAGCGCTTTCGTAGTGTAATCCCACACTTTAACGGTCCGGTCATCGGAGGTGGTGAGAAGATATGGTTTGTCCGCCTGCGGGTAGTAATCGACATGGTTCACACCCTTGGTTTCGTGGGCCTCCAGGGTGAAATTGGCATGTGGTGAGCCAAGGCTCCAGATCTTTACGGTCCTATCCAAGCATGCAGATGCGAATGTATTAGTATCCTTGGGGTTAATCGAGAGTCCCATCACATAGTGGCTGTGGCCCTCGTAAACCTGAACACACTTCCAGCCTTTCTCCCAGTCCCAAAGCTTGATTGTCATATCATCGGATGCGGTCAGAACGAATGGCTGCGTGGGGTGCACTGCAATTGAGCGAATGTAGTCCGGGTGGGCCTCGAACGAAGCAATCTTTTCAGAGGTGTTGTAATTGTAAACGCGAAGCTGGAAGTCATCTGAACCGCAGACAATCCAGTTCTTGCGGGCAATGAATCGACCGGCTCTTACAGGTACATCGGTAAGCTCGAAGGTTTTGATGATCGACTGATAAAAACATGTTTAGCGATCATGACATACGTGATGTAACGGTAGGGCAACTTACTTGAGTCTCATAGGACCAGATGTAAACGTGACCTGTGTGATCGTATTAGCGCATTCGAGGCGATGGTCGAAATGCAATTCCCCAACGCACCGCTGTATAGTGTGGTAAGAATCTGGAAAGTATCAGCGCCTGCCCACAGTTTCTTATGGCTGGAATACTCACCCATGGCTCTGTTGGATGGAAGTCAATGCCCTTCACCCGCTCGGAGCGGGCGAACAGCTGTCTCTATTCGATAACAACAACAACAGTTAGCGGTTTGAACATTGTTCGTAGAATCCGACACCAAGCATATGCAAGGTCTTCTGAAGCAAGGTCCGCAACTCCTCGAGGGTCGACATCCATACCTTGACATCCAATTTCATCCTGTGTGGGGAAGGAAGGTCGCGATTATGTGCGGCGTCGGAGGACGGCCTGTGAGAAGGAGGGGGAACCAGGCCACGAGCCGCTCAAACAGCCCAGCCCGGGGACGTCAAGAACTCCCGAAGGAAAGATATACGAAAGCACAAAGAGGATAGAAAATTCCTCAGCCTGAATGGCCTCCGAGGTCAACGTAGATACTCAAGAAGTGACAGCGATGTGTCCACAAGGAGATGGGAATCCCGCCAGCTATCTGGAATCGGCTAGCGACAGGGGGAGACTCACCGCCTTTGGTTCTGGATCATCATCCCCCTCGTGGGTGGCCGGGGGCCAGTTTCATGTCTACTACTCCGTACTTGGGTAGTCCTCTGAATAATTATGCGCGTGTACAAATTAAATTTGAACCACCTGTTCAATCGGGACGCTGTCCTTACAGTCACATATGCCATAGCAGATCCTGCACTAGCATCAGACCCTATCAATCATTATTCTTTACATTCAGCATGATAAACCCGTTCGACCAGCGGTTATCAGTAAACCAGACACAATCCACCGGGAACCTTAGCTCAGACAACAACCTATACATCATCATGCAATTGTGATTGGTTTTGATTGGACACACGTAAACTTATAATTACAAACAATGGGAATTCTTAAGTCAAGTCTGTCATTCATGAGAAGACCCTATTATGCCGAGCACTTACTCGGGGCGCTCGAAGTAAGACCACTGGCCAGGTCTAGCCTTCTCCTCAAGTTCCTCCCAGCTGTGACCATATCAGTATTGCATTCCATACCATCGCTAAACCATGCTGATGTCGACTTACGCTTTCGACTTGTACAACTCATCAACAACCTTCAGTTCACCCTCGGCGACCTGAATAATTTCCTCAATAAGACCGGCACCGATTTGCTGCTCAATTTCAGAGATCCTATATCCAAAAACATCAGCACGTTCCGCCCGATGAATCAGTTCTGGAGAGGGCAATCTCGGCATACTGTTCTGCCGTCAGAGCGGGCTCAGCCTCCCACTTCTTCTCCTCAGGGTGGAAGTCCGATTCATTGTTCTTAGGAGAAGAAGCCTCCTCCAAGAGCTGTGTGAAACGGGCTTCTTCTGCTGGAGTACGAGCGGGACCTTCAGTGGTTGCCTCCAAGGCTTCGCCATCCCACTCCTCTCCACGGGCATTGTCGCTACCATCGAGGCGCTCAGCACCTGCGTACGTGCCGTTGGCTTGTAGAAGGCTAGAGAAGCGCTCAGGCTCATTGCCGACGGTCTTCTTCACGCGCTCCAACCAAGCTTCAAATCCAGGCGGCTTCGTGGACTCAATGATCTGCAGACGGTGGCGGGTCAATGCCTCGGTGGATTGACGGTAGACGGAGGACTCGGGGAAGGACTTGAGCTTGTTCAAGGTCGATGTGTAAAGGAAGATCAGGGTGGGACGAGGGCTAGGGTGAGTGTTCAGGCCGGTCAAGCCGGTGGGAGCGAAAGGCTCCAAGTACCGAGCCGGCTTGACGTTGGCCAGCAACCGGAGTGTCGACCTCATGCTGGGCGGAGGGTGTGTGAGGTAGTGAAAGGAATGAGAATGACCCAGAGGGGCGTTGATATCAAACCCAATGGCAAACGGCAGCGGGGTGACTTATCGGGTCGTTCATTCACGATGAGCACACTGAATCGGGATGGATGCACGAAGGGTTGAGGTTCCGTCCCGGATTGCGGAGGAACCTAACCCCGAGTTCTCCCTCCTGCGCCTCTTCCTCCTACCGCCTCCGCCCATCATCTCAATGATATCTGGTTAAATGGTAATCTTATAATAGGGGTGGTCTCCTTCTCGCCTGCGTCCTTTCCTCCGTCTGGTGGCTTGTCGTCCTATCGACGTACTCCGCAAGACATCTGCTGCATATTCTTGGAGCACCGAATTCGTGCTGATTGCCCCCTGTCTGAGTGGTTCCCCGACTCACTGGCGATCCACTCGTTTCTAGACCATCCGTCACTTCCACTCCGATGTGCCACCTGTGAACGGCCAATCCTTATTTTCTGATAACTTTTATCTCGACTCTCACTACCAACCCCACTTCTTCTTTCTTTTTGAATAAGGACCTCGAAGGCTTCTTGTCCTTGACCTACAGCCAGCATGAGGGCGTCTTTGCTGGCATGGTCATTCCTTTCTCTCCTTTCCATCCCGACGTGGGCTACCTCCGCCGGTGATGCTTCTCCCAAGCACCATCTCGCGAAGAGGGATGGCTCGACCGAGCCCAAGTCGACTCTCTTCAATGGCATCGAGGTTCCGCCTATCAGGTCTTTGACCCCTGATGATTTCGACGAAACCGTCAAGGATGGTTACTGGTTAGCACATTCTTCAATGCGCCACGTTAGATTGGCCGCTCCAGGCTAACAGGCCTTTCAGGTTTATCAAAGAGTACTCTCCGTCATGTCCGCACTGTCAAAAGATTGCGCCAACTTGGCAGACACTCTATGAGTTCTACTATGTAAGTCGCGTCCCTAGGGTTTCACCCCTACTGCGTTCTCTAATCCTTCTCAGACCTCGGATCCTCTGTCCTCGTCCTCTGGAAAGTCGTCCGATACCAAGTCCCTGAACTCTTTCGATAAATTCTACAACTTTCACTTCGCCGAGGTAAATTGTCTTGTGTACGGGGACCTGTGTCGCAAGTTGGAGGTGAAATACTTTCCCACCTTCGCTTTGTATCACAATGGCGAGATGGTTGAGCAATTTACGGGAAAGAAGAGTATGCAAGGACTGAGTGAGTTTGTCGAAGAGAAGCTGGAACAGATCAAACCTGGCTCTCGACCTGCGCAAGGTTTGAACCTGCCCAAGCCGGGCGATACAAGCGTTGATACCAAAGCTCAACCCGATGCCCCTGTCGCTAAGGACAAAGACCCTGAAGCTGGCGCTAAGGCTGGAGAGAAGCACAATGAGCAGGCCGCGCAGCTTGCCTCTAGTGATGCTCCTGTTGCCAAGGATGCCGCGCAGACCAAGGCTAAGCCATCCGGTCCAGTGAATCCTCAGGGCATATCTGTCCCTCTTACGGCGGAAAGCTTCCAGAAGCTTGTTACTACTACGCAAGACCCTTGGTTCATCAAGTTCTACGCTCCTTGGTGCGGTCACTGTCAGGCATTGGCTCCTAATTGGCAAGAAATGGCCAGAGAGATGCAGGGTACTCTCAACGTCGGCGAAGTAAACTGCGATGTCGAGACTCGACTTTGCAAGGACGCCCGAGTGAATCAATTCCCGACGATTTACTTCTTCCGTGGCGGTGAACGGGTTGAGTACAATGGTCTGCGTGGTCTGGGTGATCTGGTCAATTATGCCAACAAGGCCGTGGAGATCGGCTCCGGCGTGCAGGATGTGGACGCTACCACTTTCAAGGAACTGGAAGAGAAAGAGGACGTCATCTTCCTCTATTTCTACGACCACGCAACGACTTCTGAGGACTTTAAGGCTCTTGAACGTCTGACTCTTAGCTTGGTCGGACATGCCAGACTAGTCAAGACTAACAGCGGCGCCCTTGCTGAAAGGTTCAAGATTTCTACCTGGCCTCGTCTTTTGGTGTCCCGGGACGGCCGCCCAAATTACTACAACGCACTCGCTCCCAAGGATATGCGGGACTTCCGGCAAATCCTGGGATGGATGCGGTCTGTTTGGCTGCCTATTGTCCCTGAAGTTACGGCATCCAACGCTCGTGAAATTATGGATGGCAAATACGTTGTACTAGGTATTCTGAGCCGCAAGCACTCGGATGAGTTCCTGCAGTCTAAGCGAGAGCTAAAGAATGCGGCCCATGAATGGATGGACAAGCAGGTTCAGCTGTTCCAGCTGGAGCGCGCCGAGCTGCGGGATGCTAAACAATTGCGGATTGAAGAGGCCGAGGACCGCAACGACCAGCGTGCGCTTCGGGCTGCTAAAAACATGCGTATCACCATCCGCGAGGACGACAAGAAGCAGGTCGGTTTTGCTTGGGTTGATGGTGATTTTTGGGAGCGGTGGCTACGGACTCAGTTTGGTATCGATGTGGAGAACGGAGAGCGTGTCATTATTAACGACCAAGATGTAAGTCTCTTGCAGGTGATAAACCCCACTTGTTGTACATTTGACTGACTTTGTCTTAGAACCGCCGCTACTGGGATACGTCCTCCAGCGGAGCATCCATTATGGCCTCTCGCACTTCGATTCTCGAAACTATACCTCTTGTGGTTTCCAACCCTCCTAAGCTCACACCCAAGTCTACCATTGGCACTTTTGAGTCGATCTTCTTCTTCACTCGTTCTTTCATTAGCGGGCATCCGATTTTGTTCGTCATAATCTTGATCCTGTTCATTGTCGGTGCCACATTCGTGGCTCGAGGCAGAGCGGCGAGACGCGGAGGTCGAGGCGGTATTCTCGGTGTTACTGGGAACTCTAGCGGAGGTTTCTTCAACCTCGATGGCAAGGAAGGACTCTTGAATGGTGGTTCCACGGGCAAAGTAGATTAAACTGTGAATTGGGGTGGTGTACAGTCAGCTTTTTTTTATTCTTTTTCTATTACCCAATCTTCCTCTTCAATTCTATTTTGGTGTTCTTTATGCTACATCTTGATGATACTGGGACTAGTCCCGCTCCCTCACTTTCTTCACCTCGTAGTAGCTTGCTGGCACATACAACGAGCTTGTATACTTCCATACTTCGTGGGGACATGAGGTGTGGAAATGCGCGATATCTGATTCGACAAGCCGATGGTCACGTGATGCTCAATTCGGCCGGCTGATTGGCCGCGGGCGGTCGGACGAGAACGTCGCGGAGTCTCCCGGTTTTCGTCGACAGCTTTCAACGTGTAATTGCAGCCTCATATCGTTTACTGGAGCAGAGTGTGCCTCCTTCGACCTCAAACAAAATGGTATGTACATGCCGATAGACCCTCACTGGGCTGGCAGTCTGAGAGTCCCATGACTTCAAGTTGTCGCTTCCAGTTGATTAGTGGCCAACTCCGGACCCGGCTATGTCACAGTGATAGACTATGGAAAGGGATAAAAATTGTCAGTTGCTAACGTGAATCGTTGTCCGTGTAGGTTTTCTCTCAGACTCTTCGCCGCGCTGCGGCTCAGAACGCCGGTGGCTACCGTTCCCCCTTCGGTCCCAAGTGAGATATACCCCAGAATCATCGTTACCTTTTTCCCAGCACAGATATGAAGGCTGGCACTGGACCGGCCCTTGCGGAGCTCCGCTTCGCTCCATTCAGCGGTCATTGATATGCCAGGGCATCTGATCGATAAAGAGCTCCAACTGTTCCTAAGCGGGGGACGACTCATGGCGAATGGCTGCATACACAGATTGGGAGGTGCATGAGAGAATTACGGCTAACAGACTTACTCGATGATTTAGGTACTCGACTCCCCTTCACTGGCACGGTCTTACCACCCGGTCCGCTGTCACTGCGTGAGTGTCTTCCGCCTTGTGTTCGAACGTGCCATATTCGCGCCAATGTCCGAAACGGCAATAGCATTGCGAGGGCGTCGACTAACGTACGATCAAAACAACAGTGGTACCATTGCCAGCGGCTTCGGTGTCAGCGCTGGTGTCTTCCTTCTGTTCTTCTTCGGCGAGGTTCCCCGTGTCCGCCGTGATATCCTCCAGAAGGTCCCCTTCCTCGATGAGTACTTTGACCGCACCATCGCCCCCGAGGACAACGTATGTGGGATCCTATTGTCATGCACACGAACGAATGCTAACACTCACGATAGCCCTTCTAAATCATGTCCTTAATATCGAGACAAATTTTGTTTTTCCATTATACACAAGGCCCGGTCACCCTGTACGGATATACCGCTTCATAGCTGGACAGCAAAAGAGACTTGAGGTGCTGTACGTGTAGAATAGCGATGAGTTTTTTATAGCACATACTAGAGAAAGCCTGCTTATAAACAAACTGTTCTCCGGTAATCTTGCCAAATATTGTCCGTGGTTGTGTCAATGTACTAGCCCGCCAGAAGTAGCTCCAGTTCTGGTCTGATATGGGTGACAGCAGAGGTCCTGCCTCTTACCCCATTCCTTCATTTCAATCAGGATTCTAGTCCTGTCTCCACAGCTGGTGCGTTGGTATCAAAGAGCTGCAGATGCCTGTGGGGATACGGAGACACTCTATGAGCGAGTCGCATACCCTTCACATTGAATCGCAAATGTATCTTCTTGTCGAGAGATTACACGGAGAGTTGAAGACCGTGATAGATTTCCGGTGCGTTGATCGTATTGTCTAGCCGTATCTGTGTGTACACAAGGAGTAAGTTTATCGATAGTCAGACTAGGTAGTTACCTACTCAGTTATCACTCCGCCACGGCCGGAGAATATCACCATCCAACAACACCCACTTACGCCCCCCCCCCAACCGACTTTCCTTGCCTTTGTGCTCGGACATAAACAGCAAAGTACTGTGTTGTGTCATGGTTCTCGCACAGCCAGTCACCCATATGCGAACGCAGAAACAACAGTAAGGAAGCATCAAGCCTTTCAAGCTTGATATGGTAGTGGACCTCTGACGTTCCTCTACCGTGGGTCAACTTCGTTTGGCTTGCGTCTTGTCAGGGGAATTGTTTATCAAGGTTGACTGACTATGCTCATTAAAGCAAGTCCAACCTGGCCAAGTCCTCTTATCTCTGGCTGTTTTGTGGCTCACACCTCATACCTAGTCAGCAGCATCCTTTTCATCCAACCTTATCATCTGCAGCCCTGCAGCCAACCATCTCCTCCGATAAGTGCAGCTTGCGAACCTCTGGCCGGTTGTCCGAGCACTAATACGAATCGTCCCACGAGATAATTTCTTCTTTCGAAGCGCGCGAAGTTTCCCTACCTAGTAAAGTCAGGTTACTAGGTTTCGGGAATTACAGGTTTTAATTCCAGGTTGGAGTCGACTCGACCAGATGTGATTCGGGCTTTGGGCATCTCGACATCGACTTCCGCGTGTGAGCTTCTCCCTGAAATTCCCCCCAATCCGATTGACCAGTAGATAGGTGAATGACCTGGTGCCAAGCGTATCAGCGTCTGGTTCCCCCGCCTCGGCTAGTCGCAGTATCAAGATCCATACTATGGGGTCGATAGATGCGTATCACCCGCCATAAAGATTGATTGGTGCCGTCTCTGTCGGACCCCTCGCCTGACGCGGTACAGCTGTTCTCGCGATAGATAAGATGGGCTATTTTATATTGCAGTGTATCCTCAACGCGATGTATCGGTCTCAAGCCCACTCGATCTTGCTTGAAAAAAAAGCGTCTCACAAGACTCAGCTGTTGTGTGACCCTTCTGTCTAGCAGTGCTTGCTCTTTGTCTCAACTGTCTGCGAATGACCCCTCATCCGGAACCTGCTTATCATTGCCCCTCTCCTTTGGGGTGTCTGATCAGGACGCTTAGCGGAGAATTTCGCAGGCCTTCACCATGTCTGTCTCTGAGCATAATAGCAAAACTGCTCTGAAAGCACCGATATATGCGGATGTCAACCATGCGCCCGTCACTAGTATCTTGCCCGAGGGCGACATTCCTTACACCGATCATGCGATGGATGCGGATGAAAGAGTGATCGTGGCCCTCGGATACAAGCAAGAATTCAAGCGCGAGTTTGGACTCTGGACTACTTTCTGCGTGAGCTTCTCGGTACTCGGCTTGCTCCCCTCGTTCGCGAGTACAATATACTACGGTATCTCCACCTTCTTCCTGACTGGTCGACGTTGTGAAAGAAATGACTGACATGTAGAAGGCATGGGCTATGCAGGAACCGCCGGTATGGTCTGGGGGTGGATCATCGCCATGTTGTTCATCCAGTGTGTCGCGATGTCTATGGCCGAGCTATGCTCCGCAATGCCCACCAGGTGGGTGCCTCTCCACTGATATCTGCTTAGCCCCAGATCCGAGCTAACCTGGATCACCAGCGGTGGTCTATACTATGCAGCGGCCGTCCTTGCACCACCAGGGTATGGACCTTTTGCTGCGTGGATCACCGGATGGTCCAACTGGATCGGGCAGATCACCGCAGCACCGTCGGTCGACTACGCCCTGGCTGCCATGATTCTAGCGGCTGCCTCGATCACAAACCCCGACTACGTGCCTACCAATTGGCAGACCTTCTTGTTGACCACATTCATCATGATCATTCATACGGGGATCAGCAGCATGCCCACCCGTTGGGTTGCTCGAGTTAATTCGTGGGGCTCAACGTTCAATATTCTCGCCCTGATCGTGACCCTCATCGCAATTCCCGCCGGGACGAAGAACGAGCCGAAATTCACCCCCTCCAAGGAGGTCTGGGGCACCATCACCAATCTGACCGACTTTCCTGACGGTGTCGCGGTGCTCATGACCTTTGTTGGGGTTATCTGGACGATGTCTGGGTACGACTCGCCCTTTCATCTCAGCGAGGAATGCTCCAACGCCAACATTGCCTCGCCGCGGGCAATTGTCATGACCTCGGGGGTGGGGGGAGTGTTCGGCTGGTTCCTGCAGCTCGTGGTTGCCTACACGGTGACCGACATCAACGCTGTTCTGGACTCTGATCTGGGTCAGCCCTGGGCATCCTATCTGCTGCAGGTCCTCCCGCAGAAGATTGCGCTGGCTGTTCTAGCACTCACCATCGTCAGCGGCTTCTCCATGGGCCAGGGCTGCATGGTAGCCGCATCCCGAGTCACTTACGCCTACGCTCGAGATGACTGCTTCCCTCTGTCGGGCATCTGGAAGAAGGTCAACACCCACACTCAGACACCCGTCAACGCGGTCATTCTCAATGGGATTCTGGGGATCTTGATGTGTCTCCTCATGCTGGCCGGCTCCACGGCCATCGGAGCCCTGTTCTCGATCGGTGCCATCGCGCAGTTCTTCGCCTTTGCTGTCCCCATCGCCATCCGGGTATTCTTTGTAGGGAACCGGTTCCGCAAGGGACCCTGGCATTTGGGTCCGTTCGGCCCCTGGATCGGGGGTGCGGGCGTGGCGTTCGTCCTCCTCATGATCCCGATCCTCTGTCTCCCCAGCGTCACCGGCAGCGACCTGACGCCCGATCTGATGAACTGGACGTGTCTGGTCTGGGGCGCGCCGATGCTGGCGGTGATCATCTGGTGGTTCATCGACGCGCACAAATGGTTCAAGGGTCCCGTCGTCAACGTGGAGCACGCGATCCACGCCGTCCAGGACCAAACGATCATCGACGGACTGGGGGAGGATGACGAAGTCGTTGGCCAAGAGGCAGAACCGGCGCATCCGTCGAGTAAGTCTTCTGCGAAGCAGTAGTGATTGTAAAAAAAACATGATTCCTGCGTGTCTCCTGGTGTACCATACCCAGCTTAATACCTTCTTCCGTGTTTATGTCGACTTATTGAGACATATATTGTTGATTTCGATCTGCGAACCACTTTTTTCTTGGAATTTGACTGAATCTGAACTCTCAGGCGATATACCTCGAGTGCACGAGTTCATCTGAGGTTCCAGCTTCCAACCTGCACTAGCTACACAATACTTTCCGGCCGGTCCTGATTCTTACGAGCCGATAGTATCTATAGCTTAGCAGTTACGGGGCCGATTCCTTTTACCTTGATTGTTCGGTTTCAATCCTCAGACATAGCTCGTCGATTCGTACAGAGCTCATTCTTTAGTGCGCTCTCTCCTATACCGGCCTGGTTATGCCACTTTCCTCTCAGGCAATCGCTGTAGAAACCCCCCACCCGTCCTGCATCCTCGAACGGGATTGTCTACATGCATACCTGTATGTAGCTACATGAAGCAAATATCGCTTCAACTTGAGGTTTTTTTCCAGGTGTCAACGCCTCAGCATATCAACATTTAGGACCATCTTCCCACCCGACACCTCCACCATGCCTGGCAGACTTGACCTGAACATAGGTGAATTCGCGAGAGACAAAAAACGTGAGACATACAATACGTCCGACAAGAGTCACGACGAACAGGACCTGTAATATTCTGTGCAAGAGTGTCATACATCTCGGGTGTAACCTTCTGGAGATCCTCAGCTGCCTCCGTGGTCGTCTGGCGTATTTCTGGAAGGTACGGCAAGCTACTCGTGCCAATAGAAGGGCAGGTTGATAGGTTTGATAGGTCGGCTGGTGAGACAAACTGCAGGTGTTTGTGCTACAGAAGGATGTTTGACATCCCGTCACTGTGTCTCGGAGTCTATTTTTATTTTACTTTTTCGGGCTGGATTGGTGGGGTACATAGCTATAACTAAGTAACTAGTAACTGCAGTGGTTGATTCACGATTATGTAGTTATAGCACACACATCACCTACTTTGGGTAAGGAAGGGGGGAGTTTCTTACTCGACGCAAGGTGATTTTTGATATGTTCACTGAGTTCTGGCTGAGCATTTACTGACATGTGGGATTTATTTGATATTGGTTGAGGCGCTGTTCGGGCTAGTTGACTTGGTACTGTCCTATAGATCGGGTCCTGATATACATTTTGTAAACTTCTACTGTAAATAGGACCCGTGTGGCAGAACATAGCTACTCCACCATAATCCTCCCGGATACATTCATTATTCCTCGGGTCCAATCAATCAAAGTGATTACTATACCTTTGTAGATTGTGCATCACCACAGAGTATGTAAGTATATATACATCCAGAAAGGCACAGCACAATGCATGAAACGCAACCAAAATAATCCCCTCTTCTCACTCAGGTAGGTACAGTCTATATGCCAACTGGGCCTTGCCCGCCAACTGGCCTGCCCGGCCAGTACTGTACAGTACAAGCAACCAT